TTTTATTTTTGGAGAATATCATATTTAGAATTTCTACTCAATTATAAATGTTTTTTTACTTTTTTGGACTTCGCTTTAAGCTGTTGAAATTTTTACAAGAGATTAACATGATCTTAAAAAGTTTCAAGTTATTCGTGTTTTTTCAAGACAAACAATTTTTGAATTTAATTTAATTTTTAGTTTTAATGTTTCTCAAATTTTCCATCACTTAATCTTTTTATTCGCTTTTTTTCAGTATATGCTGTAACATCTTCACTTTTTCAAGATCTCTTCTTTAACAATTAGAGGATTTTACTTTTTTGGACTTCGCTTTAAGCTGTTGAAATTTTTACAAGATCTTTACATGATCTTAAAAAGTTTCAAGTTATTCGTGTTTTTCAAGACTAAAACATTTTTATTGAATTTAATTTAATTTCACTTTTCAATATGATTTTTTTATTCTCTATTATACTGAAAAACAACGTAATTGAACGTAATTTTGATATTTTTTGTAGCACTAACAAATAACTTTATGGAAAAAGATACAGAAATTGTGCAAATTTCTAATTTTATAGAAAATGTAAAAAATATATATTACATAGTTTAGGAATTGCTAATATTTTGCATAAAATCGAAAAAATCCCCATTTTGTAAAAAAACTGAAAATTTATAACACACGAGCCATGCGCGAGTGTGCAATCCCGTGGAGTCTATATCTCATAATAGTGTAAATCCCCTTGATCCCTCCCTGGTTTCGTGTTTACGGTCTCGTCCTAGTCTGGTTGTACTCTCCGAGGCCGTCTCTTTCAACCCACTCGATCTGACGTCATTTAAGAGCGTTGTTCCACTCACTCACGGCCGCCCGCGATATCTACAACACAGCGAGCCGCCGCGCCGCCGTTCCCAGAATCCACCACCTTCCCATGAATTATTTATAAATAACACCGCATCGACCTTCTCTCTCTCTCTTCGCCAAATCACGGCTTGCTCGATTTTGAAAAATATCAAATTGAGTTTTCTCCTTGGTAGGTAATGAATAAAAAAAAAAGTTTGGGTACAAATCACCGTTGGCAGATTTATCAATGCTCGTGATCAGGATTAGAGTGGTGTTTGAATAGTTTTACGCCCCGCTGAGTGGGACAGGTCGCGGCACAATCCCACACAGTGGGCTGTGGGAGCCTCATGTCATCTCTATCAGATAATGCAACGCTCCACTGGCCACAGACACGAGACGAAAATCAAACGAAAAAAACCAACATAACCTCAATTAGAGATTCATGGTCGAATTTTTGCTTGAATTGTGATTTTCAAGGTTTCGCCATAGAAAAAATATGTATGTCATGTGTGCGTATCAATATATCCGGTTTTGATCGCAGTAGGCGCGCATAGAGCGCGACGGCCGCCTATGATTCAGCGGCATGAATCAGGCAGGCTTTGAGCCACCCGCGGTAAGGGGCGGGGCTTTCCCACAGTCGTGAGCGTGACGCACGGAGGCACGTGTTTAGAGCAAGACTCGACCTCGGGCCAGACACGAGAGCCACAGCCTGCTTGATCACCCACCTGTATATTGCGACGAGACACGGCAGCACACTATCCACGCTCCCCTACGACCAGTGGCGGCACGCACATTCATTTGGCTCGAAACCCCTTCACACGAGTCGCCTCTGTTGCCATAGAAATGTATTGTTGCTATGGTAACTAATTGTAGTAACTATAGCAACAGCTCAGTGGCGGGTCAAACTCGGTTTAATCAAATTAGAATTGGAAAAATTGTGTCGTAAAAAATAAACTTTTTCAAGATTTCAATAAATACTAAAAAAAATCGTTTCAAGATCTTGATTTTTCTTTTCAAGACTTAATTTTTGTATCAAAGTAATGAGTAATTTTACGAAATAATTAAAA